TATTGCTTGAGTTTTTATTATTTAATCAAAATTAAAGTTTAAATATTTAAATATTAATTTTAATAGAAATAGAAAATGTAGATGAGATGTACTTAAGCAGATCATCGAAATCAATAAATAATAGGGTTTTGCATACATAGTACATGCCAAATGTAAAGACCTTATTGTAATTTTTGTTTGCCAAGCCATAGTCAACATCTTAACAAGTTAACATCTTAGGAATTAATCCTAGATTGGATGAAGCAAAAAATCCTAATTGTTCAAAATGTTTAACAAAATGTTTAAGAGTGTTTAATTGCCTTTGATAATCTTTCAAATCTAATCCTTCCTCATTGCAATTTTAATATCTAATAATTCCCAGAATTAGGAATATCAGAAATTGATTAAGTAATAAAAGGTTTATGTTAAATGGAGGATTGTGAAAACAAGTTATTTAAAAAACTTGAGCAATAAATTGGAAGAATAAAAACAATTGTCTTTGAAATATTGAAAAAGACGAAGAATCAAACAAATATAAAGTAAAATGATTATTTATAGATTCTAAAGAACATTGAATAACCGACGTAACAATTTATATAAAAAAAAAATCTTAACTCATTCACGTTTGAACTCATAAAGGAAAATTCAATTAAGTAAAATCAATGGTGTTGTGCAATCGCTTTCAATAGAGATTAATCAATCGTGGTAGCTGGATGTGAAAATGATATCAAAGTATTTCAAAATATATAAGGGAAACTGAATCAAATATAATTCTTAAGAGAGCATACACAACTAGTCTAGTCTTTAAATTTCATGAAAAATACAAATAATTTTGTATCTGGAAGTATGGATTTTTCAATTATAATATGGTAAGCAATTAGAAATAATTAATGGAAATGTTAATAAAAATTAAATGGACATTAAGATTAGATATTTTGTTTATTGCTGAACAATACTGATGATCTAATAATTTCAGGTAGTCTAGATTATACAATAAAATTTTGGATGAAATAGGATTAATGGTTATGTTAATAAACCATAACTGATCATACTAATAGAGTATTTTCATTAAGCTTAAATGAACAATAAAATCAATTGATATCTACTTCTGAAGATTAATAAATATTAATAATAGAATAGCAAAAGTAGAATAAATAATGGTTTGTTACATAAAAGATAATAGTAAATTAATTTGGATTAAATTATGTTTTATAAAGGATAATTAATTTACATTCTAACCTTATTGTAAAGAAGTAATGTATGTTTATTAGATGGATATAAATACTAAATAATATATAAGGGCTTAGGAAATTGTTGTAAAGAGTGGTTCATATATCGATGTTTGTTTATTTGGATAATAATACATATAGTAAAAATGCATCCTTTTGAATAAGAATGGCAGGAATGTTAATTTAATTAGAAAAAAAGTTAATGGTGACTTTATAATTTAATAATCTATTAAATTTGATACTCATCGTGTTTATGGATAATTAAGTGATGACGGAGAAAATTTGATTACTTGGGATGAAATATCAAAGGAAATACAAATAAGAAAGTGTATAGAGAAATGAATAAGAATGAAATATTATTAAAAATTTTAAGAAAATAATTATTATAATTAAATTTTACATTAATTAAATCATTATGGGAGGCTTTCAAAATAATTGAAATTATAGAAATCTCATAAAATGATTAATGTTATTGGAAAATCTCAAGCCACAAACCCTTTAATTAAAATTTATTAGAATTGTAGTTGCATTGTTTAGGTATTCTAACATATATATATACATATGAAGGAGCATCAAGATTTCTTAATGGATGGAGATATGCATTACTACAAGCAGGAGTATGCTCTTCATTTTTTATGAGAGAACAAGAAAATTCTTATAATGATTGGAATTACCTTCAAGTCGATTAGTTGTTCCATTATTGGCTAGTTCGTTTAGTAGAGCATTGACAATAACAAGTAAGATAATTGAAGTATATTATTAGTGACATTTCCTTTGGAATATTGGAAAGTATTATAATCATCTACAGTTGGATATTCTAATTTGAAGATCATTTAATTTGGTACTTAACTTCAGCTTATTTAATAACAATTTAAAGAGATATTTTATTATCTTGCATTTACTGAAGCTTTCTTGAAAATTTAAAAATAGAAATAGGAAAGATTTTAATATGCATAAGGCTGTAAATCTTTTATTAGCAATGTTAGCAAATAGTTTTACTGCTCCAATGACAATTCCTTAAGATATAGTAAAGAAAAGAAAACAAGTCAGTATTGGATCAGGCAGATAAATGGCATCTATGGAGATTTTATAGAACATATATAATGAGGAAGGTTTGAAAAGATTATTTCAGGGATATTAACCTAGAATAGCTAAGATTACAATGCATTCTGGGTTAGCGTATATGATGATGTATGAATGCCTTAAATAATTAATTTGATTATTAATTACTATTTAAACATTGATATTATATGTATTTTATATAAATAAAAATAAAATTATTAGAGAATTATAAAATATCAAGCTTTTACTTTCTGAAATCGAGAAAATATAGAAAATTTAAACTTTTTAATAATATGAACCCATTGTATAAGCTTTGTAAGTTATATTGTAATTTATAATTGAAACAAAAACAATGATGGTGATTAATATCTACCTCAATTAGTTTGTATGAGTATTAATTATATAATGAATCATATGAAATCCCTGATTAGAATCAGTTCATATATTAACAAATTATATACATGCATAATGTAGTGTACATGTATAATTATATTAATGTTTTTGTTAAGAATATATTCTTAAATTATAAGGATTAAAATAAGTATACTACAATCTGATGAGTAATCTTTTTGTAAGGTGGGTAGAGAGAAAAGTAATTTGATTATTTAAGCGTATGTATTACTATTAAATAGAATAATGAAAGAAAATTTAAGAAAAGAATTTTACTTTTTAATGGCAAAATAGTTTTTCAGGTGTTTTATCACAAAAATCCATAAATCATTCTAAAGATTCTTTATCTTCTGGAGCTTTAACAAATAAATCTTTAACATCTGTCCTAGGACAACAACGTATTTCTAATCCCCAAACATATACAATTTATCTTATCCTCTTAACCAGGTTTTCTACTTCCTATTATGATTAATGAGTTATTTCTTCAAAAATAGTTTCCTCTCCTATAGTAGTCCTTTGAAATACTTAGCTTCTACAAAATTTTCAGATATATTTTATTATTCTTCTATTTCATCATCAAAAATCCTGTTTTAATCTAGTTGTCATACTTCGATCCCCATATTCCCCTAAACCAATAGCCAACCTTTTAAAATTGTGTATATAAAGACTCATTTGATAATGAACTTCTATAACTTATACCTAAACAATCTAAAGCAACTAATGAAAATCTATCCAAAATCTACTTCAACTTCTTTTGGTAGTGTAGTCTAAATTAATTTTATTTTTAGTTTCTTTTTAATAAATCATTTCTGTTATCATTTGTTAATGTACTTGAAAATGAATTAATAAGTTCCTTTCTTAAATAATATTAAATCTCATTACCACAGCATATTTTCTTATTCTTATTAAATCTGGATTATTGCAAATCTAAATCTAACATTAAACTTAATTTCCTTTCTCTTTCATCATAATCTTTTAACATTGTTCTATGTATTCCACTCATTACATTATAGCTGTATTAAAAAGTTTAACTTATTGCATCTTAATATTTACATTTTAAAATAATTAACTACTAAATATTTATGTCTCTATAAATTTCATATTCATTAATAAACTACTTAATCATTATTATTTAACATTAGAACCATTTAATTTAATTTATAATTCTAGTCTACTTATTTCATAAAATAAATCACTTATTGTTGTACTCCATGTTAATGTCTCAGACTTGAAAATAAAAAAAGATCAACATCAAGATAAAATTTATCAGTTTGTAATGATGAAAATTATTGTAAGGTTATTTTTAATTTAGATTATTTAATTTGTTGATTTATAATGATTATTCAAAGCAAAATCAGGAAGACCTCCTAAAAAGAGACCAAGAGATTTATTTTAAAATTTATAGAAAAACGCTGAGATAACAATAATAAATTTGTACATCATAAATAAAAGCTTGTGAGAAATTAAATTTAATAATATAATAATAAATGTAGACGAAGAGCCATTTGATGATGATCTTCAAAAAGGAGATAATCCTGATGAGGAATATCAAGAAGATTACTAGATGATCAAGAGAATAATGAAGATGATGGGAACCTTTTGAAGAAGTCGAAATCCAAAAGATGATGAAGATAAGTAAAATAAATTTTAAATTATTTTACTTTAGATAAAGAATCATAAGATAACTAATGGGCGTAAAATGTTATAAATGAATAAAGTTTAGATCAAAATTAGAAATTTAGAAAATGGAAAGACATGTTTTCTAACCATGTTTAATTAGTGTAAAAATAAAGAGAAAAAATAATTTGAGAATTTAACATAAAAAATTAGGAGACAAAACTAAAAAATTAGTCTAATCAAACGTAAGAAAATAAAAACTATAAGAATAAAAATTAGATTAAAAACCATATCATCTTGTTGAAAAGTAAATATTATATACTTAAAATATAAAATCTAAATTTTATATTTTATTTATTTTACTTTATTAAATTCAAGAATTAGTATATTATTTATAAATATTCTAAGTGGAAAAAATGGAGTATCCTATGCGTAAAAAAGAGAATAGATTAAATAATTAAAAAATAGAAATAAAAATCTTGATTAAACTGAAAAAGAAGTTAATAAACTTATTAATGAAATCTTTTATTGGAAAAAGGAATTGCGAATGAAGATAGACTTAAAAGAAAAATTATGGTGATTATGAAAGAATAAAAATGAGATTTAAAAAATTAATAATTTAATTTTTATTATGAAAGTAGATTAACAAATATAAAAGTCTAAATTAAAACATTAAAAGATAGTTAACCTACTCTTAATAAATATTTATTTTATATATATAAAATAAAAATCGACAGTTATAAAATTAAATGATCTCTAAAGAGAATTATAATTGTTGGATAGAAAATCAAAATAAGAACCTACTTTGAAGTACATAATAAAAACCAGAATTATTATGTTTGGAACAGAAACATGTTTACCATTGAGGATTCTAAGAATTTAGATTGGACAGCTAACATGACTATAAATTAAATAATTATTTATAAGAATCCCTAGAATGATCCCACTATAGAAAAATATCTAAACATATTAGATTATTAGATAATATTGAAGGATACTATGAGAATTACTGATCATCTAGATGACATAATCTTGAAAAAATTATATTTTTTTAATTTGAGATAAAAGAGAATAATATAAATTGGAAATATGAAATATTAAGATAATTAGACAAAGATTTTAGAATAGAAATTAAAGATAGAGAAATTTTAAATTATCATGTAAGATTATCAATAATTAAATACATTAGTATCTTAAAATTCCTCTGACAGATATTTAGTTGCAATAGGTTTGAATGATAGAAATAGATATTTCAACAAAAAGGGATTGAAGAAATAAGAAATATATAAAAAAAATGAATAATTTACAAATTTCAACATCTTATAATTTCTCTGAATTATGGTCTGAATATATTTGATGTGTTACTAAATCTACCTTTATATACATTTACCCAAACAATGGAATTACTTGAATCCATAGTTCAGTAGTTTTGAGTACGATAAAATCAATTCGGATTTAATTAAATAGGATGAAACATATAACTTATATGAATAATGGAGAAGATTAAATGCTTTAATTTACAAAAGAGTTTAAAAGAATACCAGATAATAAAATAGAAATATTAGTTGAAGTATAGTTTGGTGAGAAGCCTACTTGATAGGAAAAATTTTTAAGAATTTTGACCTGAAATTGTATAAACATAATAATAAAAACCTGAAAGTGATTTATATGGTGATCATCTTAGAAATTAATTATCTTATAAAGAGAGTTTGAAAATAATTGAAAATCAGGATTTTTTAAACAAAGATAAAGTTTCACTCAATGTTAGAAAAATAGAAGATGCAATTTGTTGATCTAAATGATTTTAAATTACCAAATTTAGTCTAACAAATAGATTGTTAATTGTGTCAATAAAAGTTTCATGTTCCTATTTCAATATTTTTCTAAATAGTAAATTATCTATTAAATAAACTAGTAAAACTTCTCTACCTTTTTTAATGGTGATAGAGAATATAGAATCTGGAGAAAAAAAAAAAAAAAAA